ACAGTGATCCTCTGGGGGGTTTCTGAGGTTGTGGATCTTTACCTGAGCAGACCGCCTCATCTTTCTCCCGCAGAGAGACTGGTGAGTGTGAGCCATCCACCCTGAAGTGAACGGTCCAGCGATTACCTGACAGCCACACCCGGGCTCCTTACATATTAAATATATATTGTATTGTGTACTCTTATATGTGTTTTAATTCACTGAGATTGTCACAAGCCATCCAGACTCACACCACAGATGCTGGTGGTGGCAGAAAGCACGACGCTGGCCTTCGGGTTCACTGCCAGTGGCTGCATTACCCACCACCTTCGGGTGAGGGGGCAAGGGGAGCCCCTGGTGGTTGGTACCCACAGTTAGCACATCTGGTTGCTAACCGAAGGGTGGGCAGGTCAAGCCTAGCCAGACGTGCCTCGGGAGAAAGGCCTGGCATCAACTTCCCACCAAATAATCAGCCTTTGAAGAAGCCTGTGAAGGCCAATTCTGCTCTAGCACCCGTGGGCCCGCCCTGAGTCAGACTCCGCGGGAAGCGGTTCTTCTGTTAGAAGCTGACTCCTTGTCGTAAATCAACTCTCTTGATTACGCTCTTGCGCCTTTTGCATTCTGTGTTTTTGGTGTTGTCAGTCACCTCGGAGAATTATACTTGGCGCCTAGGTGGTATAGTAGGTACACACTGGGCTGCTAACCCCAAGGTCAGCAGTTCAAGACCACCAGCCCCTCTGTGAGGAAAAAAACAAGGTTTTTTTTACCCCCATAAAGAGCTAGAGCCTCAGGCGCTCACAGGGGCAGTCCTACCCTGTCCTACGGGGTCACCAGGAGTCGGCATCGACTTCATGGCAGTGAGTTTGGATTTTGCCACAACCTTCCAGATCTCCCGCCAGAACCAAACCAAACTCATGGTCATCAGCCGACTCACAGCGCCCCTATAGGACAGGCTAGAACTGCCCCTGTGGGTGTCCAAGACTGTAATTCTTTACACAGGCAGAACGCCTCGTATTTCTCCTGAAGAGCCGCAGGTGATTTCGAACAGCTGACTTTGTGGTTATTGGTCCAAGTCATAACCACTCTGCCACCAGGGCTCCTCCCACATCTTCTAGGGACAGCCAAACTGCGTCTGGGGGTGGGGTGACACATTCCTCACCTTCCCTTTCAAATGAACTTGTCTTCCAGTAGGTGCCTGCTTACAGGAAAATTGTGCAGAAACTGCAAAGCCTTGCCACGCATGCACACACGTGCGGCCCCTCCCTGGACCGTTAAGCAGCTCCTGTTAGTAAGATCTTCTGTTCCCAACTCCACTGTGCCGTCCATTCTGAGCTTGACCAACTTCTCCTCTTTTTATGGAGATTTTGATTTCTGAATTTTTTTGTTTTAGCGTTCTTTCTCAAGAGGATCAGGATGACATCCACCTGAAATTAGAGGATATCATTCAAATGGTAAGTTCACATTCAGTTCTCTCCAGCACAGTGGGTGTGAAGCTCTCCCTCCAGGACAAATCATATACTTTGAGTGCTCACAGACTAGTTGACCCTGGGCTCCGTCCCCGAGGCCCTGTGAGAAATCCACTTGTGTTGTAGGAGTCAGTTGTTTGTCCATCCGTGGCTACAACAAGGGGCTCAAAGGCGCAGGACCGGTGGTGTTTTGTCCTGTTGTCCATCCGGTTGGTGGCTGTGATGCAGAAGCAGCTCTGTGGCTGTTTCTTACCATCAGCACCAAGTGAGTCTGTGAGCTGAATGCTGGCTTCCCTTGTTGTTATCTCTCAGCTAACACCTTCCACAGCTAGGATCCTGTGGTGTGCTCGGGTTTCATGCCGCGCCTCGTTGACTGACCAGTGAGCGGTCAGTGTGTTGCTCTCCCTCGCTGTGTTTCATCTCCCTCGCTCCTCTCTTGCAGACTGACTGTCTGCAGGCCAAGTGCTTTGAGACCTTGTCAGCCATGGAGCTGGCGGAGCAGATCACTCTCCTGGACCACATCGTCTTCCGAAGCATCCCCTATGAGTGAGTGTTGCCGCTGCCCGAGTCAGGGCTCAGGCATGCTAGCTGGCCCAGGAGTTGACATTTTTCCGTGCGACAGAAGGGTGTGTGTGCAGGGCAAGGACGCTTGGGCCCCACTTGGGTGTCTTTTAGATCCCATTGCAATTGGAATTCTTGATGGGGGGATTTCTGTGGGTCCTACAGAGTGTTACCAGCGAATGTGCCTTTCTCTTGCATCTCAAGTTCTTGAAACAGGAAGCCTCCGTAGAGCTCTAGGGGTCGTTCTCAAATGGAAGCTCTCCTGTGACCAGAAACCAGGCACCGTGGAGTCGATGCTGATCCCACTGACCCCAAGGGCACTGGACTCAATCATGCCCCACGGGGTTTCCTTTTGTTTTCAAAAAGAGAGACAAATTAAGGAGACCATTTATGAAGTTGTAAAAGGGACAAAGACAACATAAAGACAGACGTCATCCAACCTGAGGTTGGCATGGCATCCGAGGATTCCCAGGCAGGACCCTAGTTCAACAAGGCGTGGGACAGAGGGGACGGTCACAAACTCATGCTGGATGGCCGGTCCACACATCACAGTTCCCGGTGGGACTGCAGAAGTGGGAACAGGGCCAGGATTGGGGCCCATACATTACGTTAGATCGCAGGGCTTCCAAGATGAGCCCTGGGCCTTCCGACCAAGGCAGTGAGGGCACACTGATTGGGCGTGACTCCTGGCCATGGGACCCCTGTATGTCCCCAAGGACATGCCCAGGCAAGCCCCTAAGAGAGACGGCACCCCCAGTGCTCACCAGAGAGGGGTGGATCCGCATGGTTTTCAGGGGCTGGTTTGTTGAAAGTGGATCAGCCGCTTCTTAGGCTGCTCAGCGGGGACTTGAGTTTCCAAACCTTCGGTTGGCAGCTGAGCATGTTGTGTGTTGGATGAACTTCAGCAAGAATGTTGCTCGGAGGCAAGGAGAGCGAGCCTTGGTTTCATATACTCCGCGGAGGGCTCAGTAGAGGCTCACGTACAAGGAACAGTGCGAGGAGGGCGCAGGGCTGGGTGGTGTTTTGTTCTGTTATATAAAGGGTTGCTATGAGTCAGAAGCCACGTGATAGAACATAAAACAACGACCACCACTGGCTAGCTTGTTAGAAATTCAAAATCCTAAACACACACACACCTTTAGACATTCTGATTCCAGTAGGTTTGGAGGAGGCTCAGCAAACTGCATCGTCAGTGAGCATCCCAGATGATTCTGGGTGGCCCAAGATCACACTTTGAGAAGTAGTGATCTAGGGTAAAAATTCTTCTTTGCCCACCTTGGTCAGTCAACAAGTATCATTGAGCTTCATGACCGGGGTCTCTTCACGCAGCCCTTAAACTTCCAGTTGTGGAGAGATGGGGGCCGTTCTCTGAGGCCTCTCCCAGTTGTTGTACTGGGTAGCCCCAGGGACCAAGCCATTGTTTGAACAAATGCCAATTATTGACGCTTTGTGGCTCCTGTGAAATCACTGACAAACTAAAGGGAAGGAAGGGGCTGGGCAAGAGAGCTGAATGTGATCAGTGTGGTGTGCAGAGAAGATCAGCAGGGAGGGAGGGAAGGAGGGAAGGTGGGCAGAGGGCGTGGAGGCTCTGAGAGGCACAGGCCCGGACCAGCAGTGCCCTGCTTACTCTTCTTCCAGGCATGTCATCAGCTTTCCCTGCCCTTCTTGCATGACTGCTAGGCCTCTGCCGATGACTATGGGGAGTAGAATCCAAACAAGAAGACGCTCCCATTGGGCATAAAAATGATTCGGAGCCACAGTCCCTCCCAGTGCTCTCTCGTCACTGCCTTCCCCTCCTCCACCCAACGCCCTGTTATCTGCCTGGACGGGGGAGGGGCAGAAGCAAAACCTTAGCAGGGACCCACCCTTTCTGGGGTTCTGGCTCTTTGTTTTATTTCTGTATTCTGAGTGGCCATGCAAAATCACTCCTAGATGCTTCCTCGTAATCCCCTTTGCTTGTGGAACGAGCATGGAGTCCACCTTTGACGTGAACCAGCGCGGGTCTGGGCTCTGGGGAAAGCAAAGCAGGGCCCCTACCTTCAGCATGGACATGCTCCCGGGTCGGGTGGAGGGAACATGCTGCTCTCGGTTAGCCAGCTGAGCAGTCACGGATGGTCCGCGCCGTCTGCGAAGCCGGGTGTTTTCGAAAGCTCACTGGTGGGAAATCATCTTGGCTTCTGGGTTAGGACTTCACCTCTCTTCGTCCTGTGTGGTCACTATATTCCAACTTCAAAGAATCTCCCTCGTGATTCTCAGTGGGACAAAGTTCCAAACAACTCAAAGAAAGAGCTGGAAGTGTGTGTGTGGTGGTGGTGGTGGTGGGGGGTTATTATATTTATTATATTTATAAATATTTCCCCCTTTCCGGCACGAGCAGTGAAAGCACTGGGCGAAGCTGTGCCTCAGCTGGTCAGTGGCAGCAGCGGCAGCAGCAGTGTCAGGAAGGAGCAGTGGGCGGTGTCGACGTTC